GTGTTACTGTATTACAAGATGTTTGCTAATTAAAAAGATAGGAAAGTAAAGGGTACTTTTTGTCCAAGTTTAAAAAAAAAAAAAAGCTTAAGTAATTAAAATTAGTAGTAGAACTAATTCAAAAACTAGCAACTCTAAAAACTCCTGAATAGTTTGTGTATTTGGTCACCTGTTTTATTTATTTATTTTGTGGGTTACCCTATGGTTTCTGATAATTTGCAATTATTAGATTCTTTCTATGCATGCAGAAGACTTTTCTTTTTTGTTGTTCTTATACCTATCTCAGAATCCTTAGTTTCCTGTAGAGGTAATTTCAGTGTTTCTCTCAGAAAGGTTTTTATTCAAGGAAATCAATCATCTTCTATTTCTGTCATCTTCACTTATCACAAAATCATCAATGTTTGGACTGTCATCCTGCTGATGTGATGGGAACCACAAGTAGTTGTAACAGCACAAAGGAGCCCAGCCTTATCTGGAGTCCTTTCAGGAAGCCTGCAGGCTCCTGATTCGTTATTCTCCAGCTACCCGAGAATCCATTGGACCAGATGAACACAAATGGAGATCCAATTATCAGATCTCGACTCTCCACAGAGTCCATTTCCTATACTGGCTATATTGCCAGTGTTGCTCCTCTGTTGAGCAAGATCCTTGTTATTTTTACTCAGAACAAAAATAATGTTGTTGTGTCTAAAGGCTACGTTTTCTCTTTCGCAAGCTCTTCATCCTTTGCATTTAAAAAAAAAAATCTCTAGTCTGCTTTCTTTTGTGGTCTGAGGTTTCTGTATCTCTGCCAAACACTGATAGATTCATTGCAGGCTTCAGCTGCTTTGCAGAATCTGAATAGACACTGAGGCTACATAGGCAGCTTCAATTAAGCAGCTCTATGGAGCTGATATTTTTTTGTTGAAAAACAGTGTCTGTTTGCAGGGACACACAAAGCAGCAATTCCAAGGATGCAAATCAGGACAAAATACTTAAAAGATAATAACTATTAAGGCAACTAATTGTAAATGTTCTGCGGAGAATACAAAGACCCATTTACCCAGTTGCTTCCTTCTGCTGTTCCATTGTGAAATTCCAAGTATGCACATTACAGCATTAATACATATGGCAAAGTAGAATCTCAGTGAGAAATTTCCAGATTCTAGCAGCTAAATTACAGACTTTGAGACAATAAGATTTCTTTTCTAGGAGAAGTATAGCTATGAAATACACAGAGGTCTTTTTATTCCTACGCATATACACACAGCAGAGATTCTCAGTGCAGTACAACAGTGTATTTTGTCTTTCATCTTGCTTCTAAGACACAAGGATATTGTACTTCATACAGGACTTAAGTGCAGGACATGTGGTGGTGTGCTCTCTTTTTTTAACTTTTGGTGTTTTTTTTCCCCTATTTACTTTTTCTTCCTCTCCTTTGTTTTCTATTTATTTATTTATTTTTTAATTGTCTACTGGTTTATTTGCTGAGAAGCAGAAGAGGAGCTCTTTTCTTCTGGAGAAAATTTCTTGTGTGTCTTCAGTTTTTGCTGTGTTTGAAACTGCTAAGTTCAGTCCCCACCCCCATTTCCTTCTTCCCCTGGGTGTGGGAACCCAGCGGAACTTTTTTCTTGCGTTCCAATCTGAGCCAAATTATCACAAATTACTCTGTCTGGACTAAGCTATTATTAGATCAGCCAGTAACTCCAGCTGTTTTGGTTATTTCTACAACTGATTTTGCTGCTTGTTTAAAGCCCCAGAAGTACATCTCTCTCCTTCAAGAACATACTTAACCAAGCATGGGGCTGTGTCACTGGGTCTGCTCAGGTGGAGCTACTCAGGAGCACTCTGTCAGAGCCCCATTTATCTCCTGAAGGCTTGTCTTCCCAATTACTTCCATTATTTGTACAGCTTTATCGAGTATCAAAATGCTGATGAAATGCTGCTTTGACAGAGCAATGCTAACAGCTGAAGCTGTTGATCACCTGAGAACACCAACATCAATGGATGTGAGGATCAGCTCGCACTCAGTGTGAATGAGTGCAGCTGGACAAGTGCTCACTAGAAAATAATTCCTTGTAAGAAACTAAGTTCTCTGTCTCTGTGCCCTTAGTCTTTGTGTATTAGCAGGTAATGCTGTTAAGAGAAGTGAAGAGGATGAAAGTGTACTCTCCTGATCATACTTCTGTATTATCCCACACACACTTTTTCTACAGGCATGTAAAGCAAAAAAAAAAAAAGTGCCTCCAAGCTTTGAATACTTGTAGCATTTGCACACAGGCAGTGTGAATACACCAATGGACAACATATCCTGAGGAGTTCTACCTAGTGGTAAGCTACCTCCTTGTGGAGGTAATGTACATTATCACATTGAGCTTTCTTGCAATAAGAAGCAAGAATAAAAAGAAAGAAAATCCTGGTGTAAGGGTCTTAAGTATCTGTGTATCTTAAGTGCTGCTTTAGATTTTGATTTTATTCGAATATTGGTTATTTTTACTTGTTTCCAGTGTTAGTGGCTGGAAATAGTTTCCAGTAGATTCTGGAAGTATGTTGGTTATTGCTACCTGAATCTTGTATCCACCTGTGAACTGTATCACAGTCTGATCTCTTCCATTCTAGTTAAATCTGTTCTGGGCCAGTTCCAGGCATTTCTTAATCACCTCTAGCTCTGAGGAGGAACTTCAGTGCTTGCTGCCATTGCCCAGTGGCAGAGCTTGATATATGGCCAAGCTGGCATTTCAGAGACCTCATTGTTCTGTATAATCTAAGTACAGGGCTTTCATTTCTAAGTAAGACTTTCTCTGGGCTTTTACAATTGTGTTTTGGGCATATTAGAAATGGTCCTCCCTGTTCTTACTACATTCATTACCCCTTTTCCATTGTGTCCATGTTTGTCTTCTACATAATTTTAGGCTCCCAGCTGTTGCTATGCATAGTGAAAATTCTAAGTCATGGCCTGAAGCAGTGATTGAGCAGGGCCAACCCAGGGGAGCTCAGATATATGCAATGCACCTAAGTGAGCAGAGGGGTGGAACCAGCATCCATCCCTTCCCAGACCTCATTTAAGGGCTGGCAGTGGAGGCAAGGGAATCTCACTGGAGATCACTGTGTACCCGAGGCCTTCCAAGAGTAAGCAGCTTTTTTTTTCTTTGCTTCTGTGTCCATGTCTGCTGCACTTGGGCTTGTCCTCACTTGCTGCAGCCTAGGACTTTGCTACCCTGCTGTTACTGCTATGTTTTCCATCATGTTATACTGCTACACCATGTTACTCTGTGGAGCTTCATATCTAGAAACCTTCTTTGACTGTGATGCAGATCTGGCTATCTGGTTTTATTGCTCTTTGTTACTTTGTGGGTAGTGGTATTTAGGCACTGAAAACAGGTGTAGCATTATTGCTCTACAGCAGAGAACTAGAGTACAAACAACACATCCTGTTTGTTTTATGTGAGATTCTTGTCTCATACACGTTCCAGTGACTTTACTCCCTTCCGGTGTTCCTCACACTTTTCCGTGTTAGAACTGCTTTTTTTTTTTTTTTTTCTTAGAGATAAGGCCTTCTGGTGAACCTCTTTAGAGTGTCTGTGGCAGAATTGCACCGTAGAGGAATTCGATACCCAGACTGGATCAATTGCAAGGCATTGATCTGGCATTGGAATTTGTGAGGTCTTCTAGCCAACACCCACTCCTCTCATGCAGAGCTCATCTGAAGCATGTGTCTTTTGACAACAAGTACTTGTGGTGACAGGTTTGACTTGTCTGTAATACACTCCCACTGTACATTCAGTTTTATGACTAGCCTTAGGTCCTTTTATAGCATGTGCTTAGTACTATTATGTCCCTTAAACACTAAATGCTTGGGGTGGGGGTGGTGTTGGGGGGGGGGGCAGGAAGGTAAAAACTCTTAACGCTCAAGGACTGGAACAGAAATAACAGCACAGCCCATCTTTTGTATTTGTGTTATACACGTTTTTTTTTTTCTTCCTGCATAGTATTTCATTCAGTGCATGGAGTCGATGGTGCTTACTGAGTAAACACAGATATTGCTCAACATGGGGATTATTTCGTATTTTCTCGTCCTGCTCTAATGTACTGTCGCATACTTTTTTTTTTTTTTTTACTGGCCATGATCCACCTGCTCCAAAGCTGAGTTTTACTTCCTCATGTGCTCTTTCCTCAGTAAGGCTCACTGTGGAGTCACTGGTAAAAAGCCTTATGAACTGGTTTTATGGTAACTTGTATTACAAGATGGAGTGATGTTATTTTGCTTCTAGATACAATCGGGGTGGCCCTGGAAAAAAAAAAAAGCTGAAACTGTAACTGAGTTTCAAGTGTCCAACCTGAAGTGTAGCCAGATGTTGCATATCACTTTAGTACTGGAAGTGTGCACTTCATTGTTTCAAGTGCGTCCATAAGACCACTTCTTAAGAGGTTTAAGAGAGCCCCTTGTGAACCTCATGCCAAAACCCACATCCTCCAGCTTCTAAGTTGGAGCTCGCTGTTGTTTGAATGCTTTCCTTCACACAGCTCTAAGGTGATGGACCTCCCAGAGCCCAGATCAGCAGGGTTAGACTGCATTTCTTATCTCCATTTCTTTTTTTTTTTTTTTTTTTTTTTTTGACATCTCCTACGCTTCTCTTCCTGTCCAGGTCTTCTCACGATGGAGCAGGACACCTGCCCCGACTGCACCCTGCATCTTTCAGGATGCCGGAGCCCTGCCGTGATGACACCTGCACCTCCACGAACTGCTCGAGTTCCCGGTTTTCCAGCTCCCTCGCAGTAAGCAGCCTTTTTGTCTTCTTACACTTGGCTTTTAAATGGAAGCAAGACCGCGACCGCACTCCCATCATCGTGTACCGCGGTGCCGCTCGGGACCCACGCAGGCCTGCCCGGCGCGATCCCGGCCCGCTGTAGCCGCGAGGTGCCCGGCGCGGCGCTGCCCGCCGGCGGCCGCAGGTTCCTCCCCTCGCTGTCTCCTCCGCCCCCTTTTGTAGTGGTGCCAGGCGGCCGTGGGGCTTCCTGCTGACGCCGAGCCGCGGATGGGCAGGAAGGGCAGCCGGCGTCTCCGCTGCCTTTCCTCCTCTCGCCGCCGCCGCCTCCTGCTCGGCAGCCGGCCGCCTCCTCGCCCCAGCTCGCCCCGCCGGCAGGAGCGCGACAGCTCGCGGGCAGGGCGCAGGTGCGAGGCAGGCCCGGCGGGGACGGGCTCGGGGACGAGCGGCCGCGCTGAGGGAGGGCGCCGGCCTCCCCCGCCGTCCTGGGAAGGGGCGGGAGGGCCCCCGGCCGGCTATGGTAGCCCCTGGCCTTTGAGCGGCGTCGGCCGCGCCCCCTTGCCGATGGCCGAAGCCTGGAGATTGGAGGAGGACGAGGAGGAGCTGCGGGAGCTGGGCAGGAGGCACCGCCGGGCCCTGGGCTCGGCAGCAGGTGAGGAGCGGGCGAGGGTCTGGGGAAGGCGAGGCGCCGGGCTGCGGTGTCGGCCGTCTGGGGACCACCAGGCCGAGCGGTCGGAGCCTCCCTGCTGGAAGGACGCGTGGGCTCCCTGCTGCGAGTTGTGAGAGGATGGCCGGCGTGTTCCACGCTGAACAACTGATGCTTGAGTACCTGGTGTCCCCTCAGTGACTAGTCCTTGCCTGGTTGGTGGGACTGGATTCCTACCTTAGGGTGGTTCGCATTAGTAGCTTTGCTGAAGCGTGCTGACCCAGTCGGTTTCACTAAAATGAATTCAGTAGGGATGCATCTGTACCTTGCCTTGTGTCAACTGAAAGCATGTGCTCTGAGGGTGGTGAAGTGTGCTCTGAGAGATTGCTCCTCTAACCTAATGGTGACATAGATGTGTGTTGCCCACCATGTGCATCCAGTTATTTAACATACCGTGAGATAAAATGCGTGACTGATTCATCTTGTAAATCCCAGGGTGGAGGAGCACCTAGATTCAAAAGTTGTCCGCATGTAACTATTTCCGTGTAGGTAAGGATGGCAAGCCTTGGCAAACAGGAGGTAAGAACTTGTGTGTGCAAGAAAGAGTGGAGACAGGAGGTTGGGAGCAAACTTCGTAGTGACTTGACGGAAATCAGATTTTATTTGATGTGGTGAAATCCACAGTAGGCCCTGTCAGCAGTTGAAGTGATTTCTTTAATTCAGTTCTCATTGTTAATTGACAAGGAATGCCTCTATCACATTTTCCATGATAACTCAATGGGTAAATGTGGCCTTTTTCCTCTTCTCTGTAAAATTTCCTCTAGATTGAATTGTTTTCATAAGGTTTGTTTCCAGGACAATTACCAGCTACTCTTCGTGTTTCAAATTGGATTCCAAATATAGTGGCATTTAGTAATTATCATAGAACCTTAATAATTTAATAACTTGTACAATTCATGCGGTTTTGCATCCTTTTGAGCAGCAGGAATATTCCCTTGTAGATGAGAAAAACATAGCAATTTGAAGGATCTTACTGCAGAGGAAAGCTCACAACATGCTTGTCCTGCGGCTCCCCACAGCCCAGCTGTGTGAGTGCATTCCTGGGCAGGTGCTAGATTAGCAGCTGCCATTGTGGCTTGGCACACGCGCAGCATTTCCCCTCATCAAGGGCAGGGTGCAAAACCAGCATTGGTTCCTGTACAGCTTCTTCAGTAGCAAAACATGAGCTGCTAGTTCTGGTGTCTGTTCTTTAAAGGTTTGGAGACTTTTATTGGTGGAAAACGTTTCTTTCTGCTGTTCATGTATATACATATGTAATCTTATTTTTTTTTGTTGTGAAACAAAGCTTGTTCCTGGATTTTCTCTTGGGTGTAATGCTACTAATGAGTAGTAAATAGCACTTCTTCAGTTTTTAAATTTTCATTATTATTTTGTCCTGGCATCCCTCTCTAAAGCAGCCAGACACTGCCTACCTGACTTGTGTAAAGAATGTGGAAATGATGAATGTTCTGCTGTGGCTGTCGCTCCTCCCTTCCATCTGTTCTAAAGACTATGCATTGGAAAGCAGACGTAAAGCCTGCCAGCAGTGTTCTTAAGGCTTCCGTGAGAAATATCTTGTTAGGTGGATGAGTTTGTTGTCCTTCCCTTGTTTGATGGTTTCTTGTACTGTAATCTACAAGCCTCTTGAAAATTGTATTTTTTGTGTATTATGTGCAGTTACAATAACAAAACGTTAGCGTAGTTCAGCATTGAATAACTTACTGAATGTTTTTACAGGGCTTGAAAGGAGCTGATGCATCTTAGCTGGCTGTCAATTGAATCATTTCAATCTGTTAAACTAACGGTGATGATGTGCAAGTTTAATTTCTGGTAGGTTTGGTGTATGCATGAGAGTAGGGGCAGTTGCTCACCTTTGCCCTGCACAAACAAGGCTTGTATGCAAAGCAAGAGGCAGTTAGTTGAAAGGTGAAAGTTCGGAAATGCTTCAGTGTTATAAAACACTCAGACATGAAATTAGCAGTGCTTTACTGGAGGACCAGAGTACAGGATGCCATTGAATTAAGGGCTGTTTGTCCAGGAAGTTAGTTGCAGTTGTGCTACTCTGGACACAAGAGGGTGAAGCAAACTAATCTAGCAGCTTGCTGTTGAGGGGAAGGGGGTCACTACTTTCTTGGACGTACAGTTCTATTCTCTCTGGGGTCACAAGCTCTGCTACTTGTCTGACCTGCTGGTGAGCCAAGTGTGCTTTTGTGGCAGCCTGGGCTGATTGCTCTGGTGGCTGTGGAGGCTGAGCTCAGAGTTCTTGTGTTCACTAGGACGTGCACCAACCTGTTTCAGTGCACTGGCCCAGCAGAAAGCTGTTTTTCGTCTCTTTGGTAGATGACGTTCTGCGGATTCAGCTTGCTGGAGTGCTTCTGTACAGAATCTGATGAATGTTGAAGCTGGCACAAAAGAGAGAGTGGGAACATGAGGCCTGAGGGAGGTAAGATTCTATGCCAGCCAGGAGTAAGTTTGGCTTTGATTGTTGAGAAAATATAGCTTGAGCTGTTGGAGATCTACTTGTGTGTTTTTCTTTTTTTTCATGGATTAGATAGGGTGTTTGGATTTATTTTTGCTGGTTTAATAAGCTGAAGGATCTTGCTGAAGCAGTAGGCAAGTGTCAGCACTGATGTTAAAGTAGGGAATGGGTACTTGTAGATATTGCTGGATGAGGTGGGATCAGAGCCTTGCTTGTCCATGACAGTTCATCTTAGATAGCTTAACTACGTTTTGTGATGGCCTATTTACACCATTGCATGTCATGCCAATAGGTGAGTTATCTCTGAATTCAAGAAAGCTTTTTTTGATTAGCATATTCTGGAAAAACTGGAAGAAAACAGGAGCAGAGCACTTGGCGAATCGTGTTAATAGAACGGTTTTCTTTTTGAAAAAATGCTGGTTGTCTTGGTTTTATTTCTTTTCACTGTTCAAGTAATAGGAAATAAAACTAGGATATATTCTTAAAAAAAAAAAAAGCTACACAGATAAATGAGATGGAATTGCTCCTATGAGGAACTTTTTCAAACAATATAAATAAAATGTGATTCTTTATTCCCTTCTTTTGTCCCATGTTTGGGCTGCATACATTCTTATTCAAAGTTACAGAAAACATTCTAACAGAATCTTGAATTTCAACAGATTTTTTTTTAATTTAGAGTATTAGTATTCTTACTTTATTAAAAAAGTGCTGTGAATATTAAAAAAGAAAAATCAAACAAACTTAAGATGTTCTATTCCTTTAGACTTATTTATCCAATTAAACTTTGGACTCTGTGGTATGCTTTCCTGTGTTGAGTAGCTTTGTATTTTGTGTGTACATAGTAAAATAAGTGCATTTCCAGGAGACCTTATAGTGAGTCCAGTAAATCTTAGTTATGAATTGCTTTGGTTAATTTTGTGTCTGTCCACTAAAGACTTGCCCTTTTAGGAGTGAGAGAAAATCTCAGTATTCTGGTGTTACCTGAAGCACATGGGAAATTTAAACTCATTTAGCATGTATGTCATTTCACTTTGAATTCTAGTCAGTGTTCCTACAAAAAGATGAATCTGTAATGGAGGTAGCAGATGTTTCTTTACTTCAAATAAGAAGAAAAATAGCCAAATGTAGAAGTCAGTAATAAAATTGAAGTTCATAATGAAGAACTATTGTGATTTTTAATTTAATATGCAGTTAAAACTACAGATGGCCAGTAGTACAGAAAGACATTAACCTAATTTAATATTATTCTGTTTTTATGGCAAATGTTTGTCTGTGGTTTGCTCCTGCACAGTGGCTATAAATTTTGATATGTTGACTAAAATATCTGATGATTTTTTTCCTGTTTCTTCCCATAGTTTGGGAGTGTTTTCTGGAACTTATCAGCTCTATCAGGCTTATTTAGGTTATGGGTGAAATTACCGTTTTTTGGTTGGTCAGTTGAATGGATGTTTTGGTTTTCAGCCAAAACAAAATCCAGTTAAGATGGATCAATTTTTTTAAACTCCCACAACTCCCACATCATACTGGTGCTGACTTGTTTTGGAAGCTGAGAACAATGAGCTGTGTCAAATGTGACAAATTAAGGTTGAACATTGCCCCTCTCAACATGCTGAGAACTTAAGGCGGTATGTTGGTGGAGTGTGGCTGAAGAAATGCAGGGAACAGTACTTTGCAGGCATCAGGGACTCTTTTTCGCAGATAATATTTGCTACAGGAGTGTTGTAGTTGTTCCCAAATTACTTCATATGTGTTCAGTCTCCAGGATAAAAGAGTAAGGTCTGAGACTGTTCATGAAATTCAGCCTGTAACTGATTGAGTGATGATCTTTAGGGTTCACTGGATCATAATATGAACAGCTTGGTCATAACAGCTCCCATGGGGTGCTGTGACCCTGGGGTAGAGAAAAAAATGTGATGCAGAGAAAGTGGCTGTAGGAATTAGGTGTTGTATTACTATAAGCTTAACTAAACCTTACATTTATGTAGGGGAACAATCTGCTTCTGCTTACAGAAGTCAGGAATGGTCAACTGGGATCTTTGTCATCAGCATTCTTGTGTCCTTCAGTACTAATCTGGAAGTTGTTCCACTTTTCTGCAGTAAGAGTAACCAACTCAAAAGGGGAGAAGATAATAACAGATCAATTGTATTGTATGAATGCAAAGTATACTTGTGATCTGCTAGCCTGTCCGTGTGCACACAAGAAGTCCTTGAAAAGAAGAAAGCTTTGTGAGCGTTTATTTAATCAGATGGATCACAAGTTAAAGAGGTGGAAAGGTTGGTTGCCAGCTGGATTAAGAGCTCTTGTTTTCTTGGGATTTGGTCTATTTTAGTTTTTGCAGTCCCAATTCAGGCTCCAGGGCTTCCAGCTTTGTGATTGAGGCACCACACAGTAAAGCATTTAAAGAACACCAATAATGTAATTCTTATGTAATAATCTCATGCTAGAGCTAGTATGTTATATCAGGTAAGGATTACCTGGTTAATTAGA